TCAGTATGACCAGCCAAACTAACGTTTGGAACTGCTGATGCTCCCCTGGTATTGGAGCTTATCCTAGTATCAGAAGCAATGTCACCGGATGTGATGTAATGGACTGGAAGTACCGCCTCTACGCGTTTCATCATGGGATGTCTTCAGGAAGCAGTCTTCTTAAGGTCTGTCAATCTCTGATTCTCTTTCCTGTCATACTGTAGACTGTACTGGCTGGGCCCCTTAAGAACTCTGTAAGAGGTAAGCTCACCTTCTCACAAATAATGAAAAGGTGAACTAACTCCTGATATCCTGGCCTCCTCTGCTGAGCTAAGCTCCTATAGCTAGGGAAAAAGAGAGCTCAATGCTCATGCATGCAGTTTGCAAAGCCCGGAATGGCTGCAAGGGGGCACACAACTGTAGTGTCCTAAAAATGGTGGCAGGTCAAATGGACATTGGGAGGCAAAAATGTTTTTTTATGGAGAGGCCTGTCCATAGCTACATGTGTAATGGAAGCAGGTGCAGCATTTGTAAAAGTAGAAGCATTGGTTTACAGTATTGTGGGAATAAGGAATTTCATAGGGTTTTTTTAATGTTGCTGAAGGTGAACTTTAATTTTAATATTTTTTTTCTTTTGAGCCCATGGTCACCAATGTTCATAATTCATTTCATCACATCTCTTTTAATAATGGTACCTGGTAGCAGGGCCTGATATGATGAGCAAAGCCTCTCTTACACCTCTGACCTGGGCCAGGGGCGGACTGACCATTTGGAAACTCGGGGCACTGCCCGAGGGCCCGGGATCAGTAGGGGGCCCCATGAGATGCCCCTGGTACCTTTTTCATAGACTTTTTTTTAGTTTGGGCAAGGACATAGGGGCCCCATGATCCCCTATTGCCCAGGGGCCCCATGAGTTGTCAGTCCGCCCCTGCCTGGGGCCTTTGGTAGTGTAAGCAGAAGGCCAGGAGTCACTGTAAGCCTTGGTAGCAACAGAGCAGGTGTCCATGCTAGATACAAAAGAATGAAGCGAGCGCTCCTCAAATACAAATAAATAAATTAAAATAAATAGAATAGTAAGCAGCTAAAGCACTGGAGGAAATCACAATCACCTCACGTCCTTCAAATGGTAAAATATAGAGTGCAGCGCTAAATAAATAATCGTCAAACTTAGAAACTCGTCCAAAAGTTTGCCCAAAAGTTCACGCAATAAGTCAACTTGTAAGTGGTGACAAATGAGCACTTCCACAGCTGTAGATATCTCATAAAGGCTTGTGATCAAGGAAATAACAGAAATGCGCACTCACCGACCGCGCATAGTAAATGCGCATGGTATATCAATCAATCAAGGTGTCACACAGCGGGAAAGGAAAAGGTTGTCATCAAGCAATAATCAGCTGGGCTCAGAGGACTTCTTTAGGATATGGGTGAACCGCCTGGATCAAGGGCTCCCTCCTCTGTATGCTGAATGCAATGAAGGCTGTGTATGTAGATACATCATCTAGCCATACACTGCTCCATGTCTCTGCTACCTCTCAGGATCCATGCTGGATGGGTGATATTGTACGTTAGGGGTCTTCAGTAAGGCAGGCAGACCAGCAGGCTTCTAGACAGTAGACTATAAAACACTGGTACTGGCAACAGCAGACAGATGAGACAGTGACTGGTAGCAGACTGTAGATTGGCAGAGTCAGCAGAGTGGTTGGCAGGTACCAGTGGCAGCAGGCAAGTAGCAGAATTGAACAAGCCGGGTCATCTACCAGCAGGATGGATCAGGTACAGGGCACCGGCAGAAGTGTGGTCTAGGTAAAAGCCTGATGAGTGGAGCAGAAGAAATGAAAAAGACAGAAGCGTAGGTTGGAGAACAAGCCGAGGTCAGTGCAGGCAGAGTTCAGGGGGTAGTCAGAACAATCCGGGTCAACAACTGTAGAATCAGGATACAGGATCACTGGAAACACAGCAGAGTGAAGTCAAAGCAGCACTGATCCTGAGCACTAGTCCAGTTTAAATAGGCCATTTGGTGCCATCATGTGTCACAAGTGCATGTGTGCTCCTGCGAGCGCAAGTATTTGCATGGGTACAAGCACCAATGTGCATGTGCAACCATGTTCCCAATTTCTGTGAGCACGAGAGGAAAAATGTATTAACCTGTGCACAGAAGTCCGTCAAGAAAAGCCATTCTGACAAATGGTATCGGATCTACTTTATTTTTTATTGGTAAATTTATGGTAAAATAACTGTATTAACTGTGTCCGTCGTGTTCAGCTACTTTCATTAATGTCTCTAATTACAAATACAGTATTTCAATAATCCATACATTCATTTATTTATAATTTTTGACAAACCTAGCTGGCAATGCTTTGCTTTCCATAGTCCCCCCCCCCCCCCCCCCCCCCCCCCTTCCTGACCAGGCCATTTTTGGAGTTTAACGCACTGCGTTACTTTGACAATTGCGCAGTCATGCAACGCTGCACCAAAATGAAATTCACATCCTTTTTTTCTCACAAAATAGAGATTAGAGATGATCGCCTCTGTGTTTTTTATTTTTTGCACTATAAACAAATGATTGACAATTTTGAGGAAAAAACTATATTTTTGACTTTTTGCTATTAAACATGTCCAATAAAAAAAATCTAATTTTGTCATAAATTTAGGCCAAAATGTATTCTGCTACATGTCTTTGATAAAAAAAATTCCAATACATGTAAATTAATTTGTTTATGTGAAAGTTATAGCGTTTACAAATAGCAGTATATATACTGGAATTTATTTTCTTTTTTTTACTAGTAATGGCGGTGATCAGCGACTTATAGTGGGACAGCCGGACTGTGGTGGACATTCTGACACTTGGGGGGAACTGACTTGGTGTCAATGACATCCCCTGTGACACCAATACAGTGGTCAGTGCTGATAAAAAGCACTGACACTGTACTAATGGCAATGGGCAGGAAGGGGTTAACATCTAGAAAGATCAAAGGGTTAACTGTGTGCTGTTTCACATTACGTGCTGTATGTGTGGTTCACTGTAAGCACACTGCTTTGTATTGGTCTGCTGTGCAGAGCCATATAAAGCAGTGTGAAGGAGCTGACGGGAGAGAACTGTATTGTTTACATACAGTTCTCTCCCCCGTCGGTAATACTTGACAATCACTGGGACCCGGCGATTGACAGCTGAGGCCACGAATGGTGGGGCGGGTAGTGCGCGCACGAGGCTCACGCTTGCCCGATACCCGAACTGCAAAATCACGTATATACAGGTGAAACTCGAAAAATTTGAATATCGTGCAAAAGTTCATTTATTTCAGTAATGCAACTTAAAAGGTGAAACTAATATATGAGATAGACTCATTACATGCAAAGCAAGATAGTTCAAGTCGTGATTTGTCATCATTGTGATGATTATGGCTTACAGCTCATGAAAACCCCAAATCCACAATATCAGAAAATGAGAATATTCCATGCAATCAATAAAACAAGGATTGTACATAGAACAATATCGGACCTTTAAAAAGTAGCGGCCTTCAGCTCTTCTGCATTGTTCGGTCTCATGTCTCTCATCTTTCTCTTGGCAATGCCCCATAGATTCTCTATAGGGTTCAGGTCAGGCGAATTTGCTGGCCAATCAAGCACAGTAATCCCACGGTCATTGAACCAGGTTTTGGTGCTTTTGGCAGTGTGGGCGGTGCCAAGTCCTGCTGGAAAATGAAGTCAGCATCCCCATAAAGCTCGTCTGCGGAAGGAAGCATGAAGTGCTCCAAAATCTCCTGGTAGACGGCTGCGTTGACCCTGGACTTAATGAAGCACAGTGGACCAACACCAGCAGATGACATGGCTCCCCAAATCAACACAGTCTGTGGAAACTTCACACTGGACTTCAAGCATCTTGCAGTGTGTGCCTCTCCATTCTTCCTCCATACTCGGGGTCCTTGGGCCTCTCCATTCTTCCTCCATACTCGGGGTCCTTGGGCCTCTCCATTCTTCCTCCATACTTGGGGTCCTTGGGCCTCTCCATTCTTCCTCCATACTCTGAGTCCTTGGTTTCCAAATGAGATGCAAAAGTTGCTCTCATCAGAAAAGAGGACTTTGGACCACTGAGCAACAGACCAGGTCTGTTTTTCTTTAGCCCAGGTAAGACGCTTCTGACGTTGTTTGTTGTTCAGGAGTGGCTTGACAAGAGGAATACAACATTTGAAGCCCATGTCCAGGATCCGTCTGTGTGTGGTGGCTCTTGATGCACTGACTCCAGCCTCAGTTCACTCCTTGCGAAAGTCCCCAACACTTTTGAATGGCCTTTTCCTGACAATCCTCTCCAGGCTGCGGTCATCCCTGCTGCTTGTGCACCTTTTTTTTCCACACTTTTCCCTTCCACATTACTTTCTATTAATGTGCTTTGATACAGCACTTTGGGAACATCCAACGTCTTTTGTAATTACCTTTTGAGGCTTTCCCTCCTTATGGGGGGTGTCAATGATGGTTTTCTGCACAACTATCAGATCGGCAGTGTTTTCCATGATTGTGATTCAACTGAACCAGACTGAGAGACCATTTAAAGGCTCAGGAACCCTTTGCAGGTGTTATGGCTTAATTATCTGATTAGAGTGGGACACTTTGAGCCGAGAATATTGCACCTTTTCACAATATTCTCATTTTCTGAGATTGTGGATTTGGGGTTTTCATGAGCTGTAAGCCATAATCATCACAATGATGACAAATCACGGCTTGAACTATCTTGCTTTGCATGTAATGAGTCTATCTCATATATTAGTTTCACCTTTTAAGTTGCATTACTGAAATAAATGAACTTTTGCACGATATTCTAATTTTTTGAGTTTCACCTGTTTATATGATTTTGCATTCCCCTACTGCCCTGTAGCAGCATTTCTGCTATAGGGCGGAAGGGAAGCAGTTTTATAGGTGCCTACAAAAGCACATTAGTAACAACAGTACATATGTACCACAAAAACATTTTCTTCATGAAATATGGAAGTTTATTGCTATCCTTTCATCTTCTTCAGAGAATGTGTATGGACAACCAAACTGAAGTCGCAGAATTCCTACTTCTTGGATTTCAAGGTCTATATGAAGTGAAAATTCTTCTCTTCGTAGTGTTCTTCTTAGTCTACATTGTTATACTGAATGGTAACATCCTCATTATTATCTTGGTGGGCACTTGTGATCACCTCAAGATTCCGATGTTTGTCTTTCTTCAACATTTAGCAGCTGCAGATGTTCTATTGACCGCCACTGTGGTACCATTGATGTTAAATATCATCATACTGGATGAAAAGAGCATTTCTGTCCGAGGCTGCATCGCACAAATGTATTTTATTTTTATTTTTGGGTTTGTGCAGTGTTTTTTCATTGCTATAATGTCATATGACCGATGTCTAGCTATTTGTAATCCGATGCGTTATACTTCTATAATGAGACCTCACATTTGCTTCCGTATGATTGAAGGATGCTGGGTTTTGGTCCTTTTTATATCAACTGAGATTATTTTAGTATGCCAATTGCGTTTCTGTGGACTAAATAACATTGATCATTTCTTCTGTGATTTTGGCCCGACAGTAGAGTTAGCTACATCAGACACATCACTTTTGTTGCAGATTGACTTTGGTATTTCCATTTTAATGGTCTTTTTTCCTTTTGCTTTTACTGTCATAACATACTTTACTATTTTGTTTACCATTCTGAACATGTCCTCCAAAAGTGGAAGAAGGAAAGCCTTTTCCACTTGTAGCTCTCACCTGGCCACTGTATGTGCATACTATGGGACATTGATGACCGTGTCTTTAAATTCAGCCATGGCGACCTCGTCAACCTTGAACAAATTCAGTTCACTTTTGTATATTGTGGTGACCCCGCTAATGAATCCCATAATCTACAGCCTGAGGAACCATGAAATCAAAAGGACCATACGAAAAATCTTTGGACATTTTAGGACAAACATTTAAAGGGAGGAATAGAAGCAATATAAGAGTAGAAAGAAACCTTTTGTTAAAGAGACAGTAATAATGCAAATAGCCCCCCCAAGTTTTTTCTTACTGAGCCATGACCCTTTACCTCCTCCCAGCTGAAGCAGTCCAGCTTAAAGCAGAGCTCCATCCAGAAGGGGAAGTTCTGCTTTAAGGCCAGCTCCCCAGGTCCTGATAAAGAAATGGGAGCTTTTAAAGAGCAGAGGGGAGCGGGTACCCGATTTTGACAGGTACCCACTCCCAATTTCACTCCAATTACCTAGGCGATCAGAAGCAGATGTTTCCCCCCCTCCCCTCCTTTCCCGCAGTCTTCTGGGACATGTGACAGGTCCCAGAAGACTGCTGGACCTTTCACTATGCTCAGCATTACTCATGCATGTGAAGAGGGCACCCAGCTGTGAAGCCACAAGCTGTCACAGCAGGGTACCGAAGTTAAGATGCATCTGGGACAGGACACTGCTTGAAAGAACGGCTTGGGTGAGCCCATGGGACAGGTGAGATCATGGGACAGGTAAGTGGCTGTTTTTTGAAATTCAGTAGCTACAGGTTTTAATTTTTTTTGCAGAAGGCTGGAAAACCACTTTAAGCTTAGGTGTCAGCTGGTGCCGGAGCTTAGACAAGGGAGGGGTGTTACTCCCCACCCCCTTGACAGTGTGATTGGACACTGTAGCACAGGGAAAGCCATGTGGTCCTTCTTACTGTACCTGAAAGCCTTGTTCCTTTGGTGTTCCTTTATCAGGAAGGCAGCATGGGAAGGTGGCTTGGAACATATAGGTTCCTAATGTAGGCTATTTTCAGACACTGTCATTTTAGTCTTAATGGGAAAAGTAACAGTGTTTCTTTAAATTAAATCTAAAACAAAATACCTAAAGCCCAAGCACTGCGCTCAACTCAAATACAGAGATCACTATTGCTCAAAATTCTAAAGTGGTCTCCACAGTATAGTATATTATATATCCTCAGCTCTACCTCTGAAGAAGTGCGTGCGCACGAAACGCGTCAGTGGAGCCCAGGACGCCATTGACACTACTCCGCCGGTGCCACGTGGAGGCCCGGCGGCCATCTTTAATCTTAAAGGGTCAGTCATTTGATTAAACCTGGCACCATTGTGAGTTTTTTCTGAACACTCCTGTTTTTCTTGAATAAAATCATTTTCATCAACCTACTACACTATGGGTTCTTTCCTGTGTCTTCTGCGATGAGCCTTTTCAGCTTTTGCAGACCCAGACTGATCCCTGCACCAGCCTTTGAGAGGAGGAATTTTCCACTTCACACACTTCTGTAAGGATTTCTGTGACCTGCTGGACCTCCATTTCACCACACGAGGGCGCTTCATCTCTACTATCTTCAGCTCCTTCCCATTACCAGACGAGAAAAGAGAGGGGAAGCTCCATGATAACATATACACATGCATATTATTAATACGTTTCTGGTTAGTGTGCATTTCTAACTTTTGCACTGGGAATCAGCAAGCACCATTACTGGACTGTGATTTATTTATTTATTGATTTATTTATTCATTTGCTTTGGTTTCATTTATTATTTATATCTGCCCGCAATATAGTAACATCACACAGCGCTGCATTTTCTTTATATATATATTATATATGTACTGTATATGTGTGCTGAACAGTAATCACAGATGTATGACACAATAGATGCAACCAAACACATAAAGGCAGTGGCCATTGTAAGATCGCTCTCAATGGCTCGTAAGTTAATATCTTCTCATTGGGTTTCACCTAACCCTCCTATCGTTGGGGACTGAATTCGGGAAATAGATAAATACATAATGTTTAAGAAATATACTTAAGATCAGAAGTTTGAAAAATTCTGGAAAAAATGGATAGATGTACCATGTTCCAATCTAAGATCTAATAAAAAGTGGGAATGTCTGTGGAGTTGGCTGGTCTGCCTTAGATAACTCTTTATACAGTATACCCCTAAAAGTACAGTGTACCAGTTGCCCTGGAATATATTTGGAAAACTGGATGATAATAAACTAAATGTCCTGTTGATGTTATTGCTTTACTAGTCAAACTCATTTTTATTTAAACGTATTTGTTTTTATTCACATGTTTGTTATGAACATTTGAAAAAATTAAATCTGAATTTAAAAAAAGCATAAAAGAGTGGGTAGACCATGAACTAGACATGAACTGATGAAATTGATAATGGTATGCTTCTGTTTATATGGAGAGGGAGCTCCATCTACATATCAAAGACAAGCGGAGAGGGGACAAACAGCGCAAACCCCATCATGCAGTGTCACCGCTGAAACCTTTATAGAAATAATCAATAGTTCTACTCGCAGGGTAAAAAAAAATCACAAAAAAGAGCACTGTGGTGGAGGGAGATGGATCAGCTGTGATGCCTTCAGGTGCCCTGACCATGGATGTGGAGAGGAATCTATGAACAGAATCTGGATCGCTGTCATATGCCAAGCCTGATGTAGCGGCAGGAAAGCTCCAACCAGACCAGCCCCCAAATTATGTCACTGCTGGAGTATGTGCAGTAGCAGTATGCATTTTAAGAAGAGGGAGGGGAAGTCTCCTTGAAACGCGTCCTGCTACTGCGCATACTCCAGTGGTGACATCATTCTGGGGCCCTTTATACCTGATGTTTTACCTTGAGAGTAGAACTACTGATGATTAATAAAAGTTTTATGTGGTGACACTGCACTATGGCGTTTGCACTTTTTCTTCCCTCACCTCTTCTCTTTAAAATAAGTAATGTGGGATGAAACATATTACTGTCAATAATAAATGTGATTTTTAATTTTATTTGATACTTTTAAACTATTGCTTATTACATTTTTATGTTCAGGGAAATAATGAAGGATTATCTCATGCCTTGATGGTGAACCACCTTCAGATGTTTTGAAAATCAAGACGCCTTGTATGATGGCTGCTTACCAACATTTAAAGTGGTATTAAAGTTTCAGCTTTAAAAAAATGAATAACGAACATGGCATACTAACCTGCTGTATTCAATAGTTTTTTTATAGGGTAACCCCAATTCTCCTCTTTGTGGGTCCCCTGCTGGTGCTCCTGGCTCCTCCCCCTTGACCAGTCCTCCCAATAGCAAGCAGCTCACTATGGGGGCACTGGTGTGTGCTTGCTCCAAAGCTCAGCTCCATGCATCCATAAGACACATAGAGTCACAGCTTGGCCCCTCCCCTCTCTCTCTCTCTGGCTCACTGGTTGTGATTGACACCTACTGCTGTCTTAGCCAATCAATAAAGGCAGTCCTTAGACAGCTTAGGCTCTCGTGCGCATTGCTGGATTGAGAGGGGGTTCAGGTGAGTATCGGGGGGAGGCTGTGGGGGGAGCAGCACATAGAATGCATTAAGATAAATCCTTCAGCCTTTACAACCACTTTAATGATTTAAGCACACCAATACACCTTCTAGAAATATTCTGATTTTATTTACAGGGTAGGAGCTAACTAAAAGGCACTGCTATCTTGGAGCGCTGAGGTTTGGGTCCAGTACCTCCAGGACCTTATCTGTAGGGAAATGGTGTATTCTCCCTGTGTTTGGTTGTGTTATTCTTCTTTACACTTAAGATAGTTCTTAATGACGTTGGATGTATGTTTGGAGTTGTAGTGCTGCTGCAGAATAAATTTAGGGCTAATCACATGCCTCGCTGATGGTATGGAAAAAATGGATATGTGTCTGCCTGCCAAATTTATTCTGCAGCAGAACCACGACCCCAAACATACAGCCAATGTCATTAGGAACCATCTTCAGCATAAAGAAGAACAGGAAGTCCTGGAAGTCATGGTTTGGCCCCCACAAAGCCCTAATCTCACCACCATGGAGTCTGTCTGGAATTACATGAAGAGACAGAAGGAGTTAAGGTAGCCTCCATCCAGAGAATATCTATGCTTAGTTATCCAAGTTGTTTGGAATAACCTACTTGCTGAATTTCTTCAAAAACTGTGTGCGCAAGTACTGTGTGCACCTAGAATAATTGATGGCAAAGGGTAGTCACACCAAATATTGATTTGATTTAGATTTTTCTTCTTTTTGCTCACTTTTCTTTTTCTAAACTGATAAAAATAAACAATTAAAATATATATCTTTGAAAGCATTCTTACATTACAGCATTTCTTCACACCTGCCTAAAACAATTGCACAAACTACTGTATATATTATCCCTTTTTAAATACTGCCACTGTCCACAAAATTGCATAGGATGTTGCTCATTGTCTTAGGGGATATGAAGCAATGCAAAAAATCTTTACCATACAGCAGGAGTGAATATCCACAGCAAGTGGTTAATGGATTTGTGTACTTTCAATGTTGCCCTCAAAGATATGTATAAGGTCTGTTCAGAATATAATGCAAATGAAGTTCCTATGCTTGAGAAGGGCTTTGTAAAGGGAGAAGCTGGCCAAGGTCACTTGTGTTGGGGTGCCAGGTATACGTTAGAACACTGATCAGTTGCATTACAGTCCTGTCAAAGCCAATTCATTCTTTTTTGTGACACATTGTTCAAGTGCCTCATA